AAAAAAAAAAAAAAAGAAAGGTACTGAAAATAGAAAAACTAGCCTATACATGGTTTGTAGGACCAGCTACTTGGGAGGGTGAGGTAAGAGGATCACTTGAGACCCAGACTTTGAGGTTGCTGTGAGCTATGACGTCACAGCATTCTACCCAGGGCGACATAATGAGACTCTATCTCAAAAAAAAAAAGAGGCTCGGCGCCTGTAGCTCAGTGATTAAGGGTGCCAGCCACATACACCGAGACTGGCGGGTTCAAACCCTGCTAAACAACAATGACAACTGTAACAAAAAAAAAAAAAAAATAGCCAGACTTTGTGGCAGGAACCCGTAGTCCCGACTACTTGGGAGGCTGAGACAACAGATTCACTTAAGCCCTAGAGTTTGAGGTTGCTGTGAGCTATAATGCCATGGCATTCTACCAACGGCATAGTGAGACTACGTCTAGAAAAAAAGAAAGAAAAGAATCTAAGATAGTAGATTGGGGGTGGGGACCCACAGAGATACAGTGACTAAGATAAATACATATCACATACATAAAGACCTTGAGAGACCATCCTGTATAGAAAGCAGGTTGTAGACTAAGATGCACAGGGTGATACCTGTGCATACAAAGAGACAGGTGGAAAGAGCACAGACAGTCCCTCAGCTCTAGCCTGGACACCGAAGCCATAAGGCATTCACACCATGGGCACCAGAAGTAGCTCTGAGGTGCCAGTCTAGATGTGGATGGGCATAGCAGCTGGAGCCACCTTGGCCAGGCTCCAAGAGCCACTCTGTTGCTTGGGCAGGCTTGTTCTCTCGGCTCATGCCCCTCCGCAGTGGAGCCACATTGCTGAGACCTGCTGAGCTGACTTGTGCATAGCAGACATATAGGGCGTCCCAGAAAGACTCAACTCCCAGAAGGTGCTGAAGACACAGGGTGAGGGGCCTGGACCTACCTAATCTACCCTGACTCAGCTGCCCACTATAAAGGGACAACGGTGATGCAGGAGGTTGGCCAAGGGTAACTAGGGCTCTGTAGCCGCCTGCAAAGCTTCCGATCCTATTCCAACTGGACTGAAGTTGTGAGGTTGCAGTACTCAGAATTCCAGAGGAAAAGCAAGGGCCTCTGTCCAGAGTACTCCTCAAGGGTTCACGACGTGGTGTCTGGGGCAAAGGGGAATGCACACC